GGGGGGGGGAGGAGGCGATAGTGACTCCTTATATTAGTAACTCTGTGCCATTTACACATCTGAGAAATATGAAAATAAGCGGGAAAATGTGTGCCTCAAGCTCGGGTACCACATTGTAGATGGAGGAGGTGAAGTCCTTCATTTCGCTCGAGCAGTGCAGAATTAGTCGAGAAGTCACCAAAATTTATTGGGTGATTAATTAGGTGCAAATACAATACCCTTCTAGGCTATACGTCAGTCATGTCTAGTTGTTGAGGTCTCGCGTGATGATTGGCATCTGCTTATGGTTTCTATGTCCAAACACCCGCATGCATTGATGGACCATCCTTGGATAGGGTAGTCGAGATGCCATTTTCCGATTTTGATAGACACATCAGAGGTTTAACGTCCATTTTCTCAACTATTAATAAGGCTGAACATAAATTAGTTGGTCTCAATTATTCATGGCACAGACTTATCTTCTTACCTAAATTATTATTATTTCAAATGGCAGACTTTGTGATATTTATCATTAGCCCCTAAACTTTGACTTCAGCTTCCCGAAAGAGGGGTATCATTCGCAATTTAACTTTGACTTCAGCTTCCCCCAAGGAAGGGTGGGTACATTTATAGCAGTTAATTAATAGCAGTTCATTAGCGGGTACATTTATAGCAGTTAATTAATAGCAGTTCATTAGCCCGGACATTTATAGCAGTTAATTAATAGCAGCGTAGCTTTGACTTCAGCTTCCCCCAAGGGTGGGGGGTACATATGTTGACTTCAGCTTCCCCCAAGAGGGGGGGGGTACATTTAAAGCAGTTAATTAATAGCAGTTCATTAGCAGTCTTCTTGCTTACCTTAATCTTTGACTTCAGCTTCCCCAAGAGGGGGGGGGGGTACATTTATAGCGGTTATTAACAGCAATTCATTAGCTGTCTTCTTGCTTCCCAGTATCTCTGGTTTTCCGAATTTTGACTTCAGCTTCCCCAAGGGTGGGGGGTACATTGAGAGGGGACATTACATATATAGCAGTTAATTAATAGCAATTCATTAGCTGTCTTTTTGCTTCCCAGTATCTCTGTGTTTCCGTCGTTGTCTTTAGTTGCTTCCCAGTATCTCTGGCTTTCCGTCCTTGTCTTTAGAGTGGGACACCGAATCAGGTGGGTCTTCTCCATTTCCTCTTGAGGTTACATAGGGGGCATGTGGGTTGGGTGTATACTCCTAATCCGTTACATGGAGGGCATGTGGGTTGAGTGTATAATCCCAATTTGTGAGTTTGGCCAAGCAATCGTGTCCGGTACGTAGTCTAAACTCATCAACGGTATGGTTTTCTGGCCATTCGGCTATGTCGGAGAGCGTCACTGTCCACTGTTTCTCCGCTGTTCGAGCTTTAAGTTCGTTGCACCATGGGGTCTGAAATTCTCTCCTGACTAAGATGTGGAAAGACATCGGCCGGGCCATGCATTGCAAAATTGTTGTCCCCTTCTTAGCGAGTGTGTCAGAATTGCACACTCGTTGTCCCCTTCTTAGCAAGTGTGTCAACTGTTGTCCTCTTCTTAGCAAGTGTGTCAGCAAGCTCATTACCTTCGATGACCGTTGATCAGGAATCCATTGTAGGACCACTGTTTTGTTTTTCTGTCTCAACCAGGAATCCATTGTAGGACCACTGTTTTGTTTTTCTCTTCAGGAATCCATTGTAGGACCACTGTTTTGTTTTCTCTCTCAACATTAAGATCATTGCCTTTAATGCCACAGTGACCAGGAATTCATTGTAGAACTTACCTTTGATGACCGTTGATCAGGAATCCATTGTAGGACCACTGTTTTGTTTTTCTAACTGACCAGGAATTCATTGTAGGACCACTGTTTTGTTATTTTCTCTCTCAGTACTATAGAGTTTTCTACATTCCTTTATCTCAGCTGTTTTGGGTCTCTCTGTTTCTAGAGTTTTCTACATTCCTTTATCTCAGCTGTTTTGAGTAGAGTTTTCTACATTCCTTTATCTCAGCTGTTTTGGGTGTTTCAGTTTTCTACATTCCTTTATCTCAGCTGTTTTGGATGGCTATCTCATTCCTTTATCTCAGCTGTTTTGGGTGTCTCTCTGTTTGCTTTGTTTTTCTCTCTCAGCAGTATAGAGTTTTCTACATTCCTTTATCTCAGCTGTTTTGGGTCTCTCTGTTTCTAGAGTTTTCTACATTCCTTTATCTCAGCTGTTTTGAGTAGAGTTTTCTACATTCCTTTATCTCAGCTGTTTTGGGTGTTTCAGTTTTCTACATTCCTTTATCTCAGCTGTTTTGGATGGCTATCTTTCTACATTCCTTTATCTCAGCTGTTTTGGGTGGCTCTCTTACCTAAATTAATAGCCGTCTACAATAAGTCTACCGTTATTGACCATAACGTGCAAAGATTTCACTAGTTTTAACTCTTTAACGCCCTTAAGACAGTACGGTCCACCTTCACAATAGGTCCTATTGGTAATAGATTTGTAATTGACGGTTCTATTGCTGTTTGGAACATGTTCAATATGTGTCGATAGCCTTCGCCTGAAACCTCCAAAACTTCTCACGTAGGTGGCATCATTCTGCTGTAAGAGACGAGTGAGTGGGGTCGGGTGCATTTTTCAAAAAAAAGTAATTTGTACATTAAAGAGTTAATCAGAAAATATGAGTAAAACCTCAGAGTAATTCAATACTGGACGTCACTGTTATCGCTTAACTTGCCGGAACGATATTCCCTTCACGGAATTCGGAGCATTTTGGCCAGTTGTATCGCCATTGCGATTTATTAATATCTGTCAGCGAGGAGATGAAAAAGATTAGCGAAATTCTCTGGGACATCGCATAACTCGAGATGGCAGTCATTTTTGGTGAAGTTATTGAGAAATATCGCAGCCACGCGAACCTCTCTCTGGTTCATAAACAGGTCATGAGGGCTAAAGCATTTTAAAGATGGAAGTGCAAACTTGAAGGTGTGTTGAATCAAAAGTTACTAATGCAAGCACTAGACTGATAATAAGATAGACTTACCTCCATGTGATGCACACCGGCAGTTGGCTTCTCACTTCAGACTACTATGACCCTACTGTATGTCATATTCAACCACTTTCTCAGTACTCACCTCACCTTTTTCTCTACCTTTGTGTCTGTTTGTCTCTTACATCTGTGAGTCACTCTTCTGTCCCCCCCCCCTCCCACTTGACTTTTATGATTTTGTCTGCTCCTCGCCTCTGTGTGAAGACCGAAGTCAACTTAATGGCTAACGATAACTATCATAAAGTCTTCCATTTGGTATAAATAAATAAAAGGAAAGTATTTGATCGGATTATAAATAAGAATGAAGGAGTGCAACTTTGCTCTTTACATTTTTTAAATTCCCTCCCCCCTCCCCCGAAGGTCACAAGACTTCATTGCAAACCATTAAAATAAATATGATAATGCCATATTTCAAGCATGCCAGGAAGTAAATGCAATGTTGACAACGTTGACAGCTGAGGGATATCCTACTCGAATGTTGTCGGACTTGTTTGCAAAATTATTTTTTCTTCTTTCCTTCACCTCTTAATAGTTTAATTGACACTGATCGCTAAAATGGCATCTCAACTAACTTTTCACAAGTTAAGTTCATCATATTGGCCCCCATATTGTATTAAAGCAGAGAGAGAGAGAGTATAATTAGCATTGTTTCAAAACTATTCCCTGTTATCCAAGCTCTTCTCAGTTCTTTCACAGAGACGTTACGTCAACGGAATATCTGTGCCATGGAATTTTTTTTATTATTATACCAAATGATAGGCTTTATGATAGCTATCATCAGGCCCTTAGTTGACTTCTGACTTCCCAGTACCTTTGGGTTTCTTTCGTTGTCTGTAGGGCTGGACACCAAATCATCAGGTGGGTCTTCTCCATTCCCTCTTGTAGGTCACATAGAGGGCATGCTGGTTGAGCGTATACTCCTATTATGTGAAGGTGCTTCGCCAGGCTATAAATCTCAGAAAGATGTAATTATGTGATCTGATTTTAAAAGCAGAAGAGCTTATGGAAAGGCATAAGTTAAAACCCGCTGCGTCAGGCACCAACTTTTCTTGAACTATTGGGGGTGGGGGGAGGCGGGGTGGGGGGGGGTGGGGGAAGTGATATCAACGACATGTTCCCGCCTGTTTCCCTGGGTGGTGATGCGACGCAAGTAATTACGATGATTCGTCGCATCTCGGAGAGATAGTAGTTCAAGTTGTCAGCACAATTTTGAATGTCAATTTGTCCTCATTTCGTCCCAATGACAGTGTTCCAGCTTTTGCCCCCCCCCCTCTCCCCCCCTC